ATATCCACCTAGAAAGCAAGAATACTGTCAGTTCCCTTCTCTAAAGGAGTAACATTTGTAATCTGAAATTCCTGAAAAAAAAAAAAAAACACCACAAGAAACACTAAAGCATAAATTACATGTTAGAGCATTGTGTCACTAAGGTAGGTTCTATTTTTATAAGCAGGGCAAAAAGAAATGCATATGGTATAATCTAGGTGTAACTATTGTTTTGTTATTTAATTTTTCTCAATTAAAAATAAAGCAAATAACAAACAATAGAACAAATATATTATATTCATAAAAAAGGGGGATTTATTCCCACAAGGAACCTCTGGGACCTTCCCAAAAAAAAAACCTCTGACATTACTTTCTCTTTCTATAAACAGAAACCTTAACCAGGGTGACACACAGAAGAGGAAACAAATAATCAACAAACCCTCAGCAGAATGACACATGGTATTGATGTAGAAAAACACTGGCGGCCAGGCTAAACAAAGGGCCAGATGAAGCACACACCTCCTTCTTCAAGTACATCTGCAGCAGTGAAGGCATCATTGTGCAGTGGTGGGGTGCCAGGCTGGTCAGAGGGCAGAATGTCGAAAAGAACTTCTGAACCACGGTATCTAGAGACACTGCTCTTCACACCGTCCTGGCTGGCTGACAGACTGTCGCCTCTGAAAAACATTCGATATACCATCAGTGGCTACAGCAACTTAACTGTCCATGTTCACGTTGATGTCAGCATGCTAAAGCTTGACCAGAGGTGACCACTTATTGTGCAACTGGACAAAAAGGGGTTGGTATCTACTCTTTGACGACACCATATGTATAAAACACCAACCACCACAATTTGTTTACAAACACTTTCAAAAGTCAGTATCAGTGTGTTTTTGAAAGAAGTCTCGTCTGCTTAGCAAGGCTACATTTTTTTGATCAAAAATACAGTAAAAACTATAAGATGGTGAAAAATTATTACAATTTCAAATGCTTTTTGTAAATTTTTTTTTTTACTGTGATGGCAAAGCTGAATTTTAGCATCATTACTCCAGTCGTCAGTGTCACACGATTCTTCAGAAATCATCTAATATGCTGATTTGAAAAAGAAAACGTGTGACATTAAGACTTCACTGCCACTTTTGATCAATTTAATGCATTTTGTGAAACATTTTATTTTTTTTAAATATCTTACTGACCTCAAACTTTC